CATAAGTGTCGAGTTCTTCTTAGATCATTTTAAAAAGAAAAAAAGAAAAAAAAAAGAAAAGAAAAGAAAAGAAAGAAACATGGAGAAGAGAATGAGAGAAGCCAAAAAGCTATATGAGTGAAATGAGGAAGAAAGGAACAAACATGATTAGATTTTGATTCAATTGTTGAACTAAAATCAGAATAAGTTATAAAAATTATAAAAAATTGTTTTACTATTTCGATTACATTAATAAATTGGAAAATAATAACCTTAATTTGAGGAAGGTGAATTTGGTCTTACAAAATGAAAAACAGAAGGTTTGAAAATCTTAGAAAAGAGATCTGATTTGAGACAGAATTCTTCGGTTGCGTTGTGTGCTTGGAGTTTTGGACCCCAAAGGTGGTGGCCGAAGGTGGTGGAGCTTGAGAGGGTAGAAGGGTAGGAGGTTAGGGAGAGATATATACAGCACTTCCTCAATATTTTTGAATTTTTTATTCTTTTGGGAAAATTCACTTTAGCTCCATATAGTTTGGGGTTTGCATTCCGTCTCTTGACTTATGAAAAGGTGCGTTTAAACCTCCCCTAATTTTGCGTCCTTAGCATTATTGTTTAACGTGGCTTTGTGATTACCCCAGAAATGAACCAGCTTGAGAGGGGCCAAGCTTAAAGCAAGGGAGTAAAAATGGATGTGGTAAAACCTAAAGATAGAACAAAACTACACACCATTCAACTCATCAACCAAACATTCCCCCATCCTCCTCCTTTCTTCCTAGTTTCTTCAACAACCATTTCCACTTCTTTTCCCATTCTTTCCACTTACCCGTTCCACCTTTTTTCGATTCCTTCAGAAAAGGACTCCTGTTGTATGAAATGAAACCAAAACAACATTAACATGGCAGCACCAAATTCAAAGACATCCTCCTCCTCTTCCTCCCCTCCTTCTTCATCGAAGCAACCTGAAAATGCAGTAAAATTTGCCAGACGAACGTCCAGCGGCCGCATAATGAGCTTGTCTAGGGAAGATTTGGACATGTCTGGAGATCTCTCAGGCCAAAATGACTACATCAATTACACTGTTCTTATGCCACCTACACCTGACAACCAACCTGCGACCAGCGCCCCTTCTGAATCAAAACCCACAACCCGGTTTGCCTCGGAGTCCCAAAGAAAGGAGGATGGAGGCGGTAGCGGTGTTAAAGGGGTGCAACGAAGAATGTCGGTGATGAAGTCTCCGAATAATAAATCAATGTTGTTGAGGACCCAAACTGGAGATTTCGATCACAACCGGTGGCTTTTTGAGACCAAAGGAACATACGGGATTGGAAATGCGTTTTGGCAAGACCAAGACGGTTATAATGGTGAAGGCGAAGTGAGCATGTCGGATTTCCTGGACAAGCCATGGAAGCCGCTCACTCGGAAAGTTAAGGTCCCGCCTGGGGTCCTTAGCCCTTACAGGCTACTGATTCTCGTCCGTCTGGTAGCCTTATTTTTTTTCCTCATCTGGCGATGGCGAAACCCCAATCCGGATGCCATATGGTTGTGGGCATTGTCCATTATTTGTGAATCCTGGTTTGCTTTTTCATGGTTACTCGACATTCTCCCTAAACTTAACCCCATCAATCGCGCCACCGACCTCGCTGCCCTCCACGATAAGTTTGAGCAATCCTCACCGTCTAACCCAACCGGCCGCTCTGACCTTCCTGGAGTTGATATATTTGTTTCTACTGCTGACCCCGAGAAGGAACCACCGCTTGTAACAGCCAATACTATTCTATCAATCCTTGCTTGCGATTATCCGGTGGAGAAGCTATCCGTATATATTTCAGATGACGGTGGGGCTATACTCACGTTCGAGGCCATGGCGGAGGCGGTTCAGTTTGCGGAAGTGTGGGTCCCGTTTTGTCGGAAACATAATATCGAGCCGAGGAATCCGGATAGTTATTTTAACGTGAAGACTGATCCAACTAAGAATAAGAAGCTACGGGATTTTGTGAAGGACCGGCGGTGGATTAAGAGAGAGTACGATGAGTTTAAGGTTAGGGTTAATGGGTTGCCTGAGAGGATCCGTACAAGGAGTGAGATGCATAACCAGAAGGAAGAGATGAAGGAGAATAAGCTAGCTCAAGAAAAGGATGGAGAGTCCACGCCACAGGATCCAATCAACGTTAACAAGGCCACCTGGATGGCCGACGGAACCCATTGGCCAGGGACATGGCTCAATTCTGCTGCTGATCATGCCAAGGGAGATCACGCCGGAATCTTGCAGGTGATGACAAAGGTACCGGAGCCTGATCCAGTAATGGGTCACCCTGATGAGAAAAGTTTAGACTTCACCGGCATAGACATCAGGCTGCCGATGTTTGCATATGTTTCAAGAGAGAAGCGGCCAGGGTATGATCACAACAAGAAAGCCGGCGCCATGAACGCCTTGGTTAGAGCCTCTGCAATCTTATCCAACGGTCCATTTATTCTGAATCTGGATTGTGACCATTATATATATAATTCCCTGGCGATAAAAGAGGGAATGTGCTTCATGATGGACCGCGGCGGTGATAGGATTTGTTACATACAATTTCCACAGAGGTTTGAAGGGATTGATCCGTCTGATCGTTACGCAAATCATAACACTGTCTTCTTTGATGGTAACATTTTCTTGTTTCTTTCTCGGGAAGATTAATTTTTAAAAAGATGTCTAGTGGAAATTTGATGATGATGTTGCTAGACAGGAAGTATGAGAGCGCTCGACGGCCTTCAAGGCCCGGTGTACGTGGGCACTGGCTGCATGTTCCGGCGGTATGCACTCTATGGATTCAACCCACCTAGGGCAAACGATTATTTAGGTATGTTTGGGCAAGTCAAGACCCAGGCACAAGAGATTCGACCTCGTACTTCTGATGAAGAGGACCTAGAGACAGAGCCTTTGAATCATCCTGACCTGAACCTGCCACAGAAATTTGGCAATTCCACCATGTTCAATGAGTCCATAGCTGTGGCCGAATTCCAGGGACGGCCACTTGCTGATCATATGTCCGTTAAGAACGGTCGACCTCCAGGTGCACTGATCATGCCACGTCAGCCTCTTGATGCCCACACCGTGGCGGAGGCAATTGCTGTCATTTCATGCTGGTATGAAGACAAGACTGAGTGGGGTGATAGAATAGGGTGGATTTATGGATCTGTAACAGAGGATGTGGTGACTGGGTACAGGATGCACAACCGTGGCTGGCGATCCGTGTACTGTGTCACCAAGCGTGATGCATTCCGAGGAACTGCACCCATCAACCTAACTGATCGTCTCCACCAGGTCCTCCGGTGGGCTACAGGATCAGTGGAAATCTTCTTCTCAAGAAACAATCCTTTGTTGGCCACTCGCAGGCTCAAGTTCCTCCAGCGCATTGCATATCTTAACGTTGGATTCTATCCCTTCACCTCCATTTTCCTGGTGGTCTACTGCTTCCTCCCAGCTCTTTCCCTCTTTTCTGGACAATTCATCGTCCAGAGTTTGGACATCGAATTCCTTTTTTACCTCCTAATCATCACTTTAACACTTACCCTTATCTCTCTCCTCGAAGTGAAATGGTCTGGTATCAGCCTGGAGGAATTCTGGCGAAATGAGCAATTCTGGCTCATTGGTGGCTCCAGTGCCCACCTTGCTGCCGTCCTTCAAGGCCTTCTGAAAGTCACAGCTGGTATAGAAATCTCTTTCACCTTAACCTCAAAATCAGCAGGTGAAGACGAGGATGATATCTACGCGGATCTTTACCTTATCAAGTGGACAAGTTTGTTCATAGTCCCATTGACAATTTTGATTGTGAACCTTGTGGCTATAGTGATTGGGTTCTCAAGAACCGTATACAGTGTGATACCACAATGGAGTAAGCTGATGGGGGGCCTGTTCTTTAGCTTCTGGGTGCTGGCACACATGTACCCATTTGCAAAGGGATTGATGGGAAGAAGAGGAAGAGTGCCCACCATTGTATACGTCTGGTCAGGGCTCATCTCCATTATATTATCTTTGCTATGGATATCAATCAGTCCGCCAGATGAAAACAATACAAGCGGTGGAAGTGTTCAGATATAACCACTTAGAAGCTGCGTTAGTATTGCATGCCTTGAAAAGGTTTTCTCCCTTTGCTTCTCTGTATATTACCAGATAACATGTATTTGTGCAGTAGGGTGATTTAGCGCCCTACCATAGCAAATGTACTATAAATTTTTCTTAATTGTAAAGTTGTAAATTAATGTTCGACACCAAAGGATGTGGAAGGCCTCCATCCCACCTAAAGTAAGTGCTTTTTGCTGGCAATTGCTTCATAAGAAACTCCCTACAAAGGATAATTTAACAAATCGTGAAATCTTAAAGGACATTACAAAGCTAGGATGCTGTTGGTGTAATACATTAGTGGAAACACCCGACCACTTGTTTGTTAATTGCAACTTGGCTTTTGATTTATGGATGAAATGCTACAAATGGTGGGGAAAGCAATATGTGTTGGGTAACTCATGTATGATGAATCTGGATCAACACAAATGGAATGGGGGACCAAAAATACTTGATAGAGGGTGGAATATCATCTGGTTTGCAGTGGTCTGGACACTATGGCTGGGCAGGAATGATAGGATTTTTAATGCAAAGGAAGCAAATGTAGACTGCCTTTTTCAACTAGTTCAAACTCAAACTTTTTACTGAGCAAAAAATATTGCAGGAATGGATGGGTCCTCTTTACAAGATTGGTGCGAAAACCCAACCAAATGTTTAAAGAGCAATGTCAACATGAAAGAAAGAGTTTGAACTGGACCCTTATCCCAGGGACTTTAATTTGTTACATTTTTTCTGCAAAAGCCGGTGATTAAGAAAATCGTTTTCACCTGCTAATGTATGTAAGCTATGGGTTGGAATACCCCCAGTATTCCACATTTAATAAATTCTTTTGCTTTAAAAAAAAAAAAAAAAATGTTCGACACCAAAGAATACGTTTAGCCACATAATATTTGCTGATGTTCTAAGGTTACCTTTTTGTTTTTCCACCAAACAAAAACGTATAATAGACAGCTGATGCATAATTGCAAAAAGAAGCATGCTATGTACATACTGCACAATTTCATAAAATATTAAAAGATGAGATTAATTAATGTTAACGTACTAATTATTACACAAGAAATGGAACCCCGAAATTGGCTGCTACAGCAATTTTTCATTGAAAAAATTCACGCATACGAGCTGGCCTTTTAATAGCATTTGTAAAGCCCTGCAATTAAAGGGAGAAAAAAACCGAAATTAAATCACACTGTTCATTTCCTTAATATGATTTTTATGATCAAAGTATGATCATTTAAGAAGCTTGATGATAAACTGGAGTTGTTAGCTGATAGTCACGAGTGCAAAAACAGATAACTGAATTTATCCACATTTTATTGTTTCTAACTTCTGCTAACATAAAATAATTGTACTAGTAAAAGAAATGACTTGATATATGATTGTCCTGGCAATAAGATAAGTTGGAACTTTTCTTCAAGGTCATGCTGACGAGACATTTTGCGTGAACATCAACAAAGAGTAGTACACATTTACATTTAGATTTAGTTGTAAAGGTTTTGCAGTTGATGCAATGTATATATGCAATAAAACATTCAGTGGCAGAGTATAAAATGCAGGGAAAAGTTTCGAACAGAAAATGGAAATGGAATTATAACTTCCAATACCGTACCAATAAGCACATAGCATGAAATTTTGAGAAAACTACCATAATAATTACTTAAGAAAAAAAGAATGATATGGATCTTGAGATTGGAAAGATTTCTCTATTTCAGTGTGATAATAGTAAATTAGTGATGCGTATTCATCATTAGTGTTCAACCAGGAATGACATTTTTGCGTCTTCATGATGACAAATAGATGTGAGATGAATAGTAAGTACCTCATTGAATTTGAACAATAAAGGGCGTAAATCTCTCTCCAACGGTGCTTCCTTCTGTATAGTAGTATCAGCATCCTGAGAATTTTTGCTACTCGTTTTCCTAAACCTGTTTTATAGTGAATAAATTACATCAGCAACTAAAAGGGAAATGTGTTGTTATGGTTACAAGTTATTCAGGCATGTTAATCCTCAAATGATGATCATTGGAAACCAGAGAACACTTCACGAAACAGCACAAAATTTACATAGCCATTGAGTTATGGTAAGGGGAAAATTACATCAAACAAATCTATAAATCTACATTAAGAAAATTTCACAAAAAAGAGTAAATTTATACATGTCTAGAACTCTGAAGTCTGAACCCAAATGTAATGGGAAATCAGAGCAGCTAAATGAGGTGGGAGATGTGCTAGGAGTTTGGTATAAGTGTGCCCAAAGTGGTAAGCATAAAAGGAAATAGCCCCTAAGTACATGCCAACCCTGGCTTGACCCTCAACAGTCTTATTATCTATATAAACTAAACTTGAGAATTCTAGTGGAAACAATAGATGGATAACATTAAAATGAAGTCACCAACCAAACCTAACAAAGAGATGACAAAATATAAACAAATGCTCAAGGCAGACTATATACAACCAATTATTCATCATCAATTTGATACACAAGATGTCAAACCTCTTAATACAATCTCAATAAGCAAGCTTCTCATCAGAAAGCCATACATTTCACCATGTGCTTTGGGTTAGCAACTGCCATCTAAATGTAAATATGCTAGACCCTGTTACAACTTTGAGCCAAGTTCTTGGTGGTATAGTAGCAGTGCAATGACAGATAAAGAACAAACAACACAAATAGAAATTGAATACATAATAAGCTGAATTGTACCTGTCAAAGAAATTGAAACCACCAGAAGGCTTCCTTGAATTTCCAGAAGTTTTTGCCTTTGCATTAGCTATAGTGCATCTATTAGAAACCCAGGATGACGAATTTATAGAGGTACTTGGATTGCCATGCTTTGTGCTTGGTATATTCATTGTATTTTCTATGCTTTCCCGACCAGAACCTTCTCCTTTAACAGTAATTTTAGCAGAGTCAGCTGTTGTAGCCTCTTTGTGCACAAGGGTCTGCTCTTCCTTTTTGGGTTCATCCGTTATGTTCTCAGATCTTCCTGTGTTTAGTTGCAAAATCTTTTGCTTTTCAACCTGCAATGAGAATTAATTAGGCAAATTTTCGAAAGATTTTAAAAAAACACCTATTTCAGTACTATTTTATTTGTAATTTTTTTAAAAAAATGGAAAAAAGAAAAAGGAAAAACTGAAAGGGAGATTTAGATAACAGTCCCAGTAAAGAGAATTATTCTAAGAAAAGACATTGAATAAAAATTATAAAATGAAAAAAGGCAAATTTCTTTGATTTGAAAACCTCCACAAGGGGAACTCTTTTTTTTCTAATGGGAATTCTTGGGAGGGACATCTACAAACAGCAACTGTCCTTATCCATAAGGGGTTTGTGTTGGCTGGAGTAGAACTCAGAACTCAAGGGCCACCAAGTTCTTAGGCTTGGGACAAAAAACCATTAGGCCACATAGGAACAGTTCCAAAGAGGAGCTAACTGTATTTTAAATAAAGCTATAGTAGCTGACAATAGCTTTTTGGGAAAGCAACATCGCTAAATTTTATCCAAATGCTTCTCTATCTAAAAGGAGTAAGGAGTAGGAACAAATCATGTAAATCTTAAGCTATGAATTTAGGATCTGCTCAGCTAACAATGAAAAGAAATAGCATTCTCACCTCATGCAATAAAACCTGCTTCATAGCTAAGGAAAGCACATGGTGATCAGATCTATGGTCCTGCTTAATTCAAAGACATTGTTATTCAGATAGAATCATGAAATAAAAGTAAAATTCCTGCCACAATCATTAGGTGCATAGCCTATGTACCTTGAAGTGAATAAAGTCATTGATTGGTGGATGGAAGGAAAGTACTGACACAACCAATGCCAACTCATTTCTGAGGTTGGAGGGCAGAGGATCAGACTTAATGCTCTTATACGTTATAGAATAGGAAACCATCACATTAACTAACTGAGCCAAATCATTCTTCTCCTTTTCTGACAGTAAGTGCAATGCCACCTTTTAACAATGAAGCAACCCATAAGGGTAACAGCAGCAAAATGAACTAGATCACATGAGGGAATCTCAATATCATAGAGAAAATATGAGCTTGACTTATTCTAAAAGACAAGAATATTAGAGTCTGAACTTATCAGGATAATGAAACACACTAGGTCATCTATTTACCATGTTTTAATGATCTGCTTAGGATCATGACATAAAATAAAAGATAAAAAGAGAAATCCAACTAAAGTAAAAGCCAGAATCAAGCATGTGAATTCATTACTGGTCTCAAGGTTGTCGGTGAAAGAATATGCAGCAAGGGAGAAATCAAGTCCTCTACAAACAGCTCAGTTGATAAATGTCTAGAAATATGGGGTGCAATTTTCTGGTGCCAAGCCCTTAATATGTCCATCTTTTCCATTGATATTGTTCGGTACCTAAAGGTTTGTATCACCCATTAAAATGGAAGTCCTCAGTGATATCAAGTTAAGTCACAATAAACTTGAAAATGGGATTGGCAATACCTCTGATAGGACTTTGGCCACTCAATATTTGGTTTTTGAACTTGGGCTAGTAAACGATGCAGAGAAATTGCAAGAGAAGGCTGATAAACTAGAAGAAACAGAAAAACAAATAAAAAATCGGACTTTTGAAAATATAACAAAATATTCTTAAGTCTTAACAAAATGGTATTATAGCAAGGGGATTGAAGATGCGAACCACAGGTGTTCACCTAGAAGGGGCATTTGCTGTGTACGCATAATATATTGATGCATCAGATCAGAGACACCAAGATAATTCAAGCACTTGACCTTTTGATAGTTGAAAATGAGGTAAGCAATCTCTTCGTAACTACAAAATAAGGTACTACACAAAACAGTATGGTCCAATGACGAAGCCATAAGAATTGAATAGGGCAAAGCTTACTGTCTTTTGCATCACTGGATCATGATAGCGGAGCTGCAAAAAGTTTTCATGGATTCCATCCAAAATAATATCATAATCACCACTGCAGTCAAAGATCAATTAAGTTGTTTGGCAATAAGATAAGAGGAAAAGAATACATGATATGACTATGAACTAATAACCAACCAGTTAGTTATCAGGGAGTGCAGAAAGTCAAATTCACCAGAGCTGCTGCCACAGTTAATATAAGATTTTTTCTCCTGCTTCACTTTTCTCTTTTGGAAAATCTGTAGGGTAACATCCTCAAATATAAAGATCTTGAAATAGAAAATGAAGTGGCAATGAAATTTATGACCCTATCTTACCTCTTTCCATATATCAAAAGCACTTCTTGATATATCCTTTCGACCAACCACTTGTGAGCTGATTTCCATCTGGGAGCCAAGAGAAGTATTAGTCATAGTATTTTAGATGACTTCTATCATTTAACAACAAATGCAAAAATAAAGCTGCAGTTAATTTCTCATTACAGTGGATGACTCTCCCTCAAAACCCACAGTATTGAATTGGACAAAGCAGTTAAGAGAAAATGTCAGGATTAAACAAGGGATTAGGACTATCAAGAAAAATTGCTAATTTATGTGGTAAAAAATGCTGGACTGGAAAGATATTTCCTTTTGTGGAAGCAACTCAAACTTTTAATTTGTTCTATTTTTCTGATAACATGTGTATCTAATCTTTTGGCCCCACTAGTTGCAAGGACACCTGTAAACCACCCCATCCACAGTACCAGGCAAATCTCCACCCAAGGATAGTTTTAATTTTTTTTTTTTTTTTATTAAATTGTTGGTCTGGCCATCTATAGAACCAATTGAGAACAAACTAAGATAATCTACTCAAAACAGCCAGATCAAATAAAAGTCCTACCACATTGAGGGCTTCCTTCTTCTTGTTGAGAAACTGGAGGGTATTCAAGCACGAACGTATATCACAGTCTGTGAATTGCATTTAAAGAAAAGGATGAAAAGATGGGCAAGAGAAAAATCAAACATATTCTAATGCAAAAAATTCTTTTCAAATCCCAAAACAAGCAAATTTTAGATCGTATAAAAGGCATCATGCTTCAAGACTGACAAGGCACTAAATCATATCTAGAGAACAAGCATATTTGATATCAAAGTAGCATTATTAAAATGAGAATATCTAGGCTGCCAATTAACTTCAATGCCTCAACGAAGAGCTAAAAAGATTACCAGTATACTCTGCAAGTGTGGTAAGGGCAATGGAACTTGTTTTCATTCCCTCCTTGTTACAAATATATTTGAGCCTGTGAAGAAACATTGTAAATAAAAAAAAAAAAAAGCGCTAAAATTTCAGACTAAAATATACTACATGCTTAACAAGGAGGAGATGACCAATGAAAATGTATGGAAAAATGTAGGCCTGTTACATGTTCTTAATATCAAAGGATAACCAAGTCTGGCCCCACAACGAGTAAATTATGCAGTTTTTGCAGCATAGGACTAAAAGCAAGGATCATCTAATTTGCAGCTCTTAGAACTGGGATAGGTGTTAAATATGTAATCATCAATTGACTAACGTTGAGGGAAGTTTCAGCTAAAAAATGGTTTAGGGAAATGCAGATGTGGATAGTTGAAGGCCACTCTAAAAGAAGGATTTTCCTTCCTTGATTTCTCATTTAAGTGAGGTTTGCCAGACACAGGCTGTGGGGCAATAACTGAGCAACTTGTGAAGGGTCCTAATCTCATTTAAAAGAAAAAGAAAATGATAGCTAGTATCTGAACTTTGATAAGCTACTCATAGACAACTGCTGCCGATGTTGAGATATGCCACAAATAATAATAAGTTCAGATCTGAAGAATCCATAATGAATGTCATAAATTAAGGCCATATAGTTTGTTAATGTCAGAAACTCTAGAAAAAAGACCATGGTCAATATATATATATATATATATATATGATAAGATTTCTTTGAATCATTACCTGCTTACCACACGACTCACGGTAGGTTGAACAAATATATGAACCCTGTAAAAGGATAAGTATTATAAAAATAACAATTCAAAACTCCATAATGAAAGAAAATGTACTAAAATGCTCTGTGCTTTAACAAATGAATTTTACAAACTTGGAACAAGATATTGTTTCAGCAAAGCATGACAAACCAGTAAAAATAAACACAAAAATAAAAAATATTTCAAGGCATCACTAGAATTTTGTAGCTGATTCTCTTTCTTTTAATATTTGTCAAGAAAAGATCAAAATACAGATATAAATTGGGTAGAAGGAGAAAATTGAGTAGAAGTAAAGATATATAATATTTGTTGCTTAATTCCAAGTAGTTGAGAGCCTTCAACACAGCATTATTTAGACTCAATGGTAATTAAGGCATGTTCTCCAAGTCTGGGTTATCAGCTCAAAATGCTACTAATTTCAAATTAAATCAAAATTAGTGTTTGTTCTACTGGCCAAGACTGTTGCAGTATTCAAATGATAGTATAATCTTCAAATGGATTTCAACTATCATGCAAGCTAGCAGTGTGGCAAAGTTAGAATCTGAAGAGGTTTATCCTTGCAAGTTGAAACTGACATCATCGTTTTTTCTTTTTTTCTTTTTTTCTTTTTTTTTTTTTCTTTTGGCCACCAAACTGATATCATCTCATGCAAGCAAATGTAGCAACAATTTAAAGTGAATTGCAAAAGCACAATGTAAAGCAGTTAGGCTAGCATGGCATATTGGAGCAAAAACCATAATTCAGAAAGATATTTGTTATAAGTTACAAATTAGCCTCACTGGAAATTCATTAGTAGGAATCATATTATTTGATGTCAAAAATCAGCAAGTCACCAAGTGGTCCTTCAAATAACAAACACTTTCCCTACAATCTTAAAACTATAACCATAATTAGCATTATTCAGAGCAATTCAGAGGCATTTGTATCAGAACAATAGATGGAACAATGTGGTTCTAGTTTCTAGAATAAAACATCTTCCACAGTTCCAGAAAAGAATAGATAAATAAATATGATGGATCTTGCATACTCTGATCAAAAGAAACTCTTACTTTGCTACCTGACGCAATGGCCTCAAGGCAGGAGCATAGAGATCATTACATATGCAAATAACCTACATAGGCAACCCACTCATTTAATAACATTCAGATAAAAGCAGGCATCAAGTAGACAATGATGACCATGTCAAACTTACAGGTCTTGACAATGATGCATTTTTATGTCCCTTTTTGGACCTTCGTGATTTTTCCTCTCTGGCAATATTTTCCTTCCCAGTATCGGGCTTCTTTTCTGCAGATACCTACATTGAACAATTATAGGATTAAAGGAAATGCATACAGGAAGGTACCAAACTGGAAAGGATAGGTTGCAAAATTTCATGCTGATTCATTTTAAGAAACTCAAGAACATTAAATACAAAAAAGACAACTCCCCTCTGAAAGAGCAAAGTAGAGACACTTTAACAATATATGTGTGTGTGCATGCACATGTCTGTGTAGCTGTTGCATGGACAATAATTTTGCAATTTAAAATCATAATGTCAACTCCTGTTAAAGGAAGATTATATCACATTTTCTCATGGCTTTGCTAGAGGAGAATTTAGTAAACTACTTATAAGGTGATACATAAGCAGGATCCCCCAACAAGCAGGAGCAACTGTGCCTATGCTGGCATATATAGCTTCTATACACTTTAAAAGAAACCTTTGGGAAATTTTCACTGAAAAAATATGTGATGTCAAGTGGGGATCCTTGGTTTGCTTCCACAGACTAAATGGGCTGTATGAATGAGGGTGTATTGGCAATTTCTTTGCCAGGTCTGAGGATGCATGCACTGTAAAACCTAATGGTGGTAAAAGGAAAAGTAAAGAAAAATAAAAACAAGTGTCAAAGTGCCGGTTCAATAGAGTCTAAAGAAAAGCACACAAGGAAGATCACAAGAGTATGACCCATTCACTAGATACATTGTCCAAAAATGCACTTCATAAAAGCATAGGATTTCAACAATAGATACCATGCCATACCATCTTTAAAAGAACATCCACAGCACCCTTGCCATCACCAAGAGCTCCATCTATTTCATCAATCACCTAAAAATACACAATAACTTTTTATTCAGCACAGCAGGACAAAAAGGAGAAAAAGGAAGTGTGAAGCTTTTCAAATAAAAATTTTAAAAAACCAACCAGACATTTCGGTCTTGAGTCAGCCATAACAGAATTCATCTGAACCACATCAAGGATTTTTGCTTCAATGGTTGATGATGACCGATCATCACTAGCATTAATCTACAGAGAGAGAGATTTAGTTCATATTAACATGCTCACTAAATAAGGTCAAGGAATGTGAAGCTTCATATAGCAAATCATTGTAGACATTTAAGGAAGGGGGGGGGGGGGGGAAGACAATGTCTAGTGAGATTTTTGCCCAAAAAAGAACTTCCAATACACCAATTAACAAACTTCCTATATGAACAAAAAAAAAAAAAAACATAGGCAACTGAGCAAGTGATATCTTAACAATGATAGAATTCAAAGATGATAAGGTGTTAAGTGCTAATGATCTTGTACTACTGCACATGAGTAGGGTAAATTACAACACCTCTACAACACGATATCCACAATGCTTAGCTGCTACATGTGCTAGTGTAGTCTTTCCAAGCCCAGGGGATCCACAGAGTAAAAGAATCTGCAAAGACCACAAGATTAAGTTCTGAGAGAGAGCACAAAAAATGTGAAGTTCAGAACATTGTGTAGTCAAAAGTTATCAAATGGAATTGGAGAAAGGAAAATATCCTATTTCATCCATGCCAATATTCTAGCCAAAAAGTTGTAGCTTCTCTTTCCTAGGAGCTACCCAATGCACCAAGCAAAGATATCAATCAAATGATCTAAATCTCTGCAGGCTGCTCAATTTGACCAAATATAATTGAACACCAGACTAGTATAAAATATAAAACAAGCCATACCACTTCACCTTGTTGAGGTTCAGATGTGCGCATGATATCACACATCAAGAAGAAATAGGATTCCTGGGAAACAACTATACATGGTCAAAAATTTATTGCTAACCTTGTGTTCTGGTGGACCAGTAAGCCTTGATTTCTTGCTCCATGGGTCTTGAATACCTTTAGTGTTTCCATGATCCAAATTATTAGAATTTCTGTAACTGCCACTACTCCATTTACGCCCTCTGCTCTTACTTGAGAAACTTGAATCAGTATATTTATGATATTGAGCAGAAGTATGTCGTCTGAGAGATGACAAAACTTCATCTGAGGTACTCCTAATTTCAGATCCAAAAACGCAAGAGTCCCATTGCTTCAACCATAAGAGGACCTGTGTTAAGACAGCCGTGAAGAATTGAGTAATGACAAGTTGAGTAATGACAACTCATGCATATTTCTGGATATTTGCTATTTATTTAATAGTGCATGTCTTATAGGACACAAAAATATTACATACCTCACGATTTGTATGTTCATCACTGAGAAGCTCTGTGAAAGAATTTGGAGCATATTTTTCAACCCAAAGTTGTTCATGGACTATAGGTGTTTCAGATACAATTACATCGCTTTGATGCTCGGAACTAGCTTGCAAGGCCTTCAACAGCCAAGAATAAATTGTCACAAACATTCCAATGCCTTTTGTAGTAGCCAACCACATGATTACATGTCACCACTATGATAAAGCTGAACCCTCAAATTCATTTATTAAATGATAATCTCTTTTAAAGGAAGGAATATTATATCAGTGATATCACCAACTTGCAGAATGATTTATCATTCCAATGCTTTGTCCTCACCTTTTCTTTTGATTGCAAAATTGGTAAAGTTCTCTAAATATGACATTTGGTACCTTTATTCCTATTTCTTGTTTTACATGTAATTAGTCTTCTCTGACTTGTCGGTGAAAACATAGAAACATATGCAATCAGACATTTTCAGAGAAAAAAGATATTTTCCAACTGGGTCTCCTAAGATGCTTAAGCTAAATCATCTACCTAGATGACTATAGTGAATACAACAATAGGAAAGCGAGAACAAATTACTACAGCATGTACCTTATTGAAAGCCTGTTGCTCTATTCTTTGCAATAGAACATCAAAAGGTTCAGAGATAAGGTCTGCAAAGTAGACAGAGCACCAACAGTAAACACTGGGGTATGACTACTCAATGCAAATTTAGCAAATCAAAATTGTAGCCACAAACAAGAGGGAAATGTACAGCTGCCGTCAATAATTAATGGCACTAGGAAGAAGTAACAGATAAGCAGCAACACAATGGATGGAATGATTCAGGATTTGATGCGAGTACCACTAGAATATCACAAAGAAAAGTGAAAGGAAAAAGAAGAGCAGAATTCTACCATTAGATTGTCCTATGACGTCCAATTTCTTAGTCCTCAGCTCACACTCCACTCTGCATACCCTGGCGTAAACCCTATCACCACTACTGGGAGCCGTGACGGGAAGGAAATCGCCATCAATCGCGGACGCATATCTCGACAAATAAATCTCCTCCTGAACTCCTGCTACAGTAGTGTTGCTGTCCTGTGGCGGTGGCGAGTACCTTAGCCAGTCCTCCTCATAGTCATCGTCATCGACTTGGATCCCCGCATTCTCATCGACATCGATAATTTTGGCTCTCTTGTTCTCATCAGATGGGGACTCTGAGTCAACGGAGTGCCGGGGGCGTTTCTGACCGTTGATTTCTGGAGATGCGGATGGTGGTGAATCTGGTGATCTGGCGGCGGAGGAAGAGTAGGGATCCGGGGAGGATGGATCTAGGCAGGGTTCGTCGTAATAGTGGGAGTTGGCTTCGAGGAGTTCGAGCTCTTCTGGAAGCGGGATGTCCATGTCCATTGGCCAGAGTTAGTGCCGTAGCGATGGAATCACCAGCGAGATTGGGAGATTGAGAATGCGGCCGAGCGCGTAATCCCTCTCTTTGGCGGGAAAATAGAGTGCATGAAGCGGGAACGAGTTCTGTAATTTCCGCTTTCTCCTTTTTGTGGTCATGGACTGAATGGTACCGTTAATCTGTGGATATATCGACGGGCTGGAACCAGGTTTTGGTTTAAATTTAAATGCAGGCCCAAACAGGCGAACTGAAACAACTACCGATAGAGCCCAACAAGCCCATGCCCAAATAAACGAAAGAAGCAAATGTCAGAAGCAGAACAGGCCCTTCACTGGCCCTTGAAGTAAAATGTTGTGCAATAAAGCCCTTCAACTAACTTTCGTGACAATTGAACCCCACCAAGTCCGAAGTAACTTTCTTATTGGTATATAGAAAAAAAATAGATTTATTATAACTTTTTAAATAAAAAGGATAATTATCTTTCATAAATGTGATTAAATCTTAATTATTACAAGTAGAGAGATAAATGATTGAGATTTTGTGTAAGTCTAGACTATATTGAACTAAATTACATTAATTATTAAATAAAGGTTAAGCCCTTGATATTGGGGATCCTCCTCCATTCAATGATCTTATTTTAAAGTCTAGTGCAGTTTGGATTGTAAAATAGGGTTTTCATATAGATGTAAATATATAGATGAGATAAATGCATATATCAAAATGCCTTCACTCATAATTTGTTGGCATCACACCCATAACATCAAGCCAAAATTCAATAATCACAAAAGATCTCAATTCTCAAAAATGTGCTTATAATTAACATCTTATGCCTGCTACAAAGATGAAAGAACTTGTAGCTTTTCAAAATATCAAAAGAAGAAACATCTAAGATAAGAGTTAGTGATTCATAAGTTAAACGTCTAATATTTAGCAAATTTTGTTTTTGAAGGCCATAAGACAACAGATTTTGTTTTACTAGGAAAAAAGTATTTGATGATCTCATCATATGAAATGAGCAAAAAAAAAGTCCACTATTACCAAACTCCAAAACAAGAAATCTTTGGAAATTTTTAGATAAAGGAGTAGCCCTAATATTAGAGGACTAGTCCTTCATCTAAAAGTTTTTATTTTGCAATTTGAAGTACAAAAACCTTTTTTCAATTCACAAATTGTCCTACAATTTCACAATTTTTGTTGGAGAATATTGATGGGGTGATGGATTTCTAATTTTGGAAATTCAAAATATTTGCGTGAACCAAGCTTCAAATATTTTTCATACCCATGACCCAATCCAATTCCCTACTATTTTCAAGGAGATTAGCATTCATAGATCTATAAACACTTTTCCTCAAATTAAGCATTTTTCCATTTTCATCCGTTTATCTATTTTTCTCTCCTCTAGTCCTCATTTTTTCTACTTCTATTTCTTTCTTTGCAATTTTCACCATTTCTTTTGATTTTAAGGTTACATGAAATGGGGCAACAAACATTGATCTACAGCTTTGTCGCTCGAGGCACGATGATCCTCGCTGAGTATACCGAGTTCACCGGCAATTTCGCCAACATTGCCTCTCAATGCCTCCAAAAGCTTCCCTCTTCAAACAACAAGTTCACCTATAATTGTGATGGTCATACCTTCAATTACATTGTTGAGAATGGATTCAGTTAGTTCTCCTTCATGGTTTCTTTGTTATATTGCACGCATATAGGACTTTCTTGTAAAAATTGGATATTGATCTTTGTTATTTGTTATAATTAGATTGTTCGATTGACTCTTCTTGAGTTTGCTTGTCCATTTTTTGTTTTTTGATCATGTTTTTGTCCATTTGCTTGAATTTTACATGCATGGTTTGTTCTGTGATCTATATCATGCATGGATGGCAGCTTATTTAGAGCGAATTGCTTCCTTCATTTGGCTTTGTTCATTTATTTGCTTAATGAATATTTTATTAGTTTAATTATATTTTTTTAAAATAATAATAATAACAATAATAATAGTTTATTTTTCTTTTGGATCTTTGTATGATTATTTTGTTTCCTTTACATTTTACAATTAATTTTTGCTTGGCAGGTGAAAAATGGAAAGAAAAGAAAGCAATTGATGTTTTGGTTTCTTTTATTCCTGAGATCTCAATGTTACAAAAATTTTAAAAGCATTGATTTCATCAAGTTTCTTTCTTGTACTTAAATGCAATTACCTTATTTGGTCATTTACACGATCAGCATTTGGTGGAATAAATCAAGAATTAATGACAATGGTTTTTATTGTTTAATTATACCCTAAGATTGGTAATTTTTATTTAAGAGTATATAATATGTTTAGGAATTCAAAATGTGTTACATTGATAATTGATACTAATGCCCCAAAATTAATATGTTTGCGAAACTATGCATATATTACAAAGATAAGGTATTGCCATATCATAGTTTCATTGATGAATTGCTTCTACATGTGTCTTCATTTGATATTTTTTAGCCGCAAGTTCTCTCATTTTTATAATAGGCATGAAGCACTAATTATAATCACATTTTTGAAAATTGAGATACTCTATGACCATTGAATTTTGGTTTGATGTTAAAAGTATGATGCCATTAACTTATGAGTGATGGCATTTTAATAAATGATATTTTAAGTTATTTTGAGATTTAGATAATGACATTACCTTGATCTTTGTGTCTCATTACATAACAATGCTGATAAAATTTTTCTTCTAAAAATCTTTGTTTACGATGTAAATGAATTTTTTAGAAATTTTCTGTTAATAATGAAAATGAAAATAATAGGAGTAACCAATAAATAAATTAAAGGGAAGCAAAGAAAGTGTGTCAAATATGACTACTATTTTTTAGCTAATATTGTGTCTATTTATTGAATAGTTTAAACCTCTATTAAGAAGAAATGACGAAGGAATTGTTATAACTTATCATAAAAGCCTATAAATTTGCATTAGTGTTTCATTTCTTCAATTATAATCCAATATGCCCTTTTAATGACATTGATTTTGTCATTTAACTTGAATTTTGCAGCCTATTGCGTGGTTGCAATTGAATCTGTAGGTAGACAAATTCCAATTGCATTTTTGGAACGTGTTAAGAAAGATTTCAATAAGAGATATGGTGAAGGGAAAGCTACAATTGCCACAACCAAAAGTCTAAACAAAGAGTTTGGGTAATTATATACCTCTATATTTCTTTTTAAGAGATGTGTTGAAGAGATATTTTCATCATGTTTTAATCTCTATGTATTTTGTAGACCCAAATTGAAAGAGCACATGCAGTATTGTGTGGACCATCCTGAAGAGATCAATAAACTTACGAAAGTAAAGGCCCAAGTTTTTGAAGTCAAGGGTGTTATGATGGAAAATATTGAAAAGGTAAGCAGCTCAATTTGGTTTTGAAATTGTGGGTGCACAAAAATTGAAACAAAACATGATAACTTAATAAGCATCTTGCCTTTCTTTTTTTTCTTTTTTGTTTTTAGTTGTATAATATTCTAACTTTTTCATGTCAAAAGCAGGAGTTAAGATGATATTTTCTAATTCAAAATATTAAACATGTCATTTTATGTTGGTAATAACATTTATCTTGTATACAGGTTCTTGATCGCGGTGAGAAGATTGAGTTGCTTGTGGACAAAACTGAAAACCTTCGTTCACAAGTAAGGTCTTTCAAAATGTATTTGGCAACTAACCAAAATGTTCATTCTTTTTTGTTATGAGTAAACGAACTAAAATTTTGAAATTTTTAGAATTATATAAAGCTCCAAACAATTTCTAATTTTAATTCCTTTTATGTTTCTTGGTGGTGTTGTATCTCTAGCATGATAATATCACTGTTCAACCTGTATAAATTGATCTTATATTGCAGGCACAAGACTTTAGGCAACAGGGAACTAAGATGAAGAGAAAGATGTGGATTCAGAATATGAAGATGAAACTAGTTGTCCTAGGTATTTTTGTTGCTTTGATTCTTCTCATTGTGTTATCAATTTGTCGCGGCTTTAATTGTTAACTTGGATCAAAATTCCTACAAACTTCACTTTGAAGCTTGGCCAACCGAGTCATTTTGATAAACTAGCTTGGTGTAATTATTTTCATGTTTTAGGTTTAAACTTCTTTTGCCTATTCTAACCTTTTAGGTTAAGGGGAGACTTTGTACCTTAGATTTATTGTATATTGGATTTATTGTATATAGGTTTACATATTGTATATAGGTTTACATATTGAATTTGTTATTAGACAATTTAAGATATAATGAACGATAACTTGTATGTCAACATATCATGTTGGCATTTTTTTAGTTGTTTATTATAAATTCTAATTTCTTATCCATTTTATGTAAAAGAAAATTACTTGCAAAGAGCTTTTTCTTTATATCCAAGAAACTTCCTTTAAAAGAGTTTTTTTCTTTATATCCAATTATTTTTTTTGTTATGTGACTTTGTATAAACAACCTCACTAATAGAGACTAGTTCAAGGCATGTTTGGTTTATTACCTACATTTAAAAGGTTGTCAAGGTACATATCTGTATACAACTAGCAACCCTTTAAAAGAACATGATAAATGAAGTTACATTTAAAAACATATAAAGTAAAAGTTATATAGTTGATTTCAATTGTTTTTCATTGAAGTGGGATGATGGGATCACAATAACGTTGATTTCACTATAAGTGATAAGTCGTAAACACCTTTTGTCAAAAATGAGAATCGAAGAGATCTGCTTTGATCTATATAGACTCCATTGTTTCATCACTTTGGTCAAGCCCCTCTAAAAATGCGTCCACAAAACTTGATATTGTTGTGGTTGAAAATAATGATATAGATTATTGATGCTTGACTTATCGTAGCAACTCTAGAACATGATTTCTTGACTCATAGCCACTAAACCTTAGAAGTTTATCCTATACACAGTTTCAAGGACTAATTGTGCCTAGGAGTAATGTGTTGCTTGATAATGCAAACAACCATAACTTGGCATCAAGATCTATAATCTTAGCTTTATGATAAACTAATTCTAAAAAAGTACGAAGTAGTAGAAGAAATAAGATAAATTTACCAAACCTTAGGATTAGAGTGAGTGGAAGTACCAAAGTAGGATTGGCTCCAACTCCATTTACCATTTGAGTACACAGTTCTTTGGTATCAAGTAAGAAAGAACATAAATACTTGGAAAAGGGAGGATATAATTGCTAGTTTGGACAATTGAGATTTTCCAATTCATCATGAACACGAAACAAAAAATCTTATAAATACATTGCACCATTTACTTTCCTTTTAAGTTTCCATATAATGCAAGTGTGTAATCAAAGTGAGGATTCAGTTGTATCGAAGTCATCTCTTTAAAATGGCATCAAGATTGTAACTTATTTGGATTTGGCCAACCTCTCATCCAATTCCTCAAAATTATAGCATCTATCTCAAAGGTAAAATTTGCAAGGCGGTTAGAGAGACACCTCCACCAGTTGGTTGGGTGAAGGTAAATATGGATGAAAGCTTGAAAGGCAATCCAAGTCAAGCTGTAACAATAGGTATTTGTTGTATTAGTTGAGGAAAATGGCTATTTGGGTTTATTATATGTATTAGCTTCCAAAAGAGCATGGTGTTGAGTTATACACTATTATTCAAGGCTTGCAAATGGCTTGGAACAATGGATTTAGGTTGCTTGTTATTAAGTCTGATTGTCAAATTATTGATAAGATTCTTAGAGAACATGATAAAGACAGCCATGACTTAACAAGTAAGCTTGTTATCATGTATAGACAATTGTATAAAGGAAGTGGCACTGCAAACTCATGCACATTTATAAGGATGCAAACCACTATGCTAATTTTCTTGCTTTAGATTTTCATCATCTTCCAATAAAGCAAACAATGTACCTTAGCCTTCACCTGATCTCTTAAAGTTACCTAAAGATGATTTTGTAGGTACTTTTAGGATTACGACTTAATAGTTAGTTTAGTCTATATGCATGTTCTGAATATGCATTAATTATATAAATCCAATGAATTACTTTAAATGCAATTGTAAGTAATAACTCAATATCTCAAATTAAATATTTGTTGCAAACATTATCTCTAAATATATAAAAAATAATTTTTTTTTTTGCATTAAAGGATGTGAGATATTTATTGCCTTTTTTTAGTACTCAATTATTGTTGAAATAAATATGTTTTTTCTTTTAAAATAACAAAGAAAATATTTGAGGTATGTCTAGAAATTACTGAACCCCACAATCCAACGTACCTCTTTACCATTGGGAACATGATAAAATGTATAAATACATTTAAAAGGATGTGATATGGTAAAATGGAGTTGCAAGGGTCAGAAATATATAATTGATTTCAATTGCTCTTCATTGAATTAGGATGATGGGATCCCTAAATCAAACCTATAAATTTGATTTTCCTCACAAGTCCTAACCCATAAACACTTTCTTGTCAAGAATGAAAAAATCAAAGACGCCCATCTTGATTTAAATGAGCTCAATTGGCTTATTAATTGATCAAATATTGAATGTTTCTTGAAGTAATTGTAACATCCCCTTTTTTTGATAAACCTCATAGTTTACCAAGTAGGGAAATGTACTTCTTAAGATAAAAAAAATAGTAAGAATTATCTATAGAAAGAAATTACAACGGAAGTAAAAACTCTTCTAATATAAAATGTTTCCCTTTAAGGAAAATCCGCTTTCAAAATAATTTAAAGTTTTATAGAAAGAAAATCAATTACCTGTAAAAGCAAACTAATTTAATGAATAATATCTTTAAAAAAATATCAAACTACTCAAAGTTATAAAATAAAACAGGCTATGCCCATTTAAATGAATTTTTAATGTCATACACATAAAAGTAACTTATGCAAAAAAAATACATTAAAACAATTGCTTTTGCAAAATACTTTCTAAAATAATAAAAGTAAATTATTGTTTTGGTAATACATTAATTCGCCTTCATATCAAAAGCATTGAAGTTGATATATGAGATTTATGCCGAAAGCTCTCAAGTCGAGCGGCTACTACTCCAATCTACTAATATGAAATGGGAG